TTACTGAAAGAGAAATTAGTCCTGTGTTGCTCAAACCAGGACACGAGCCCATGGCCTTGGCTGGAGGGAGGGGGGGCTGCACTGGTGTCCCAGCTCCTGCTGGGAGTGCCCGGCCACTGCAGGGGCTGCGGCTGCAGGGGGGGGACAGCCTGTTCCCCCCATTTCAGACCCTGTGCCCCCTCCCTGCCTCTGGGCCACGCATCCCAAATCCTCAGCATGGAGATCCCAGCCTTGCCCCCTTCCTCCAGGAACTTCTTCCAGAAGGGGCTAAAATTGTCGCCCCCCCCAAGTATCGCCCCCCCATCACACCCTGTCCTCAGCTGCTGGCTGTCCCAGGGAAGGCTGGTGAGAGATGGCTTGCGTATGACACAGCCCCCTCCCGAGAAGCTGACATCCTGCTTCCTCCGCTCTTTTATCTTGATGCAGCAATCTCCGCGATCGCACCCTTTTTACGTGCAGCGACGCTGCTGAGAAAGGTCCCCGGGCTTCGAATGGAAACAGCGTGAAGGCGCAGCCGGTGCCGGGGCGGAGCGTGCTGCTGCTGGGGACGCTGGGCTGGTGGCGGCCATCACGTGCGGCAGGGCTGGGGGGCACCCAGGGCTGGGGCTCTGCGGGCAGGGTGGTGCCTGGAGGTGCCCCTTGGGTGCCAGGAGGGTGTGAGGTTGCACAAGGAGGCGGGAGGTGTGTCTGCCCGAGTTTTGTTTGGGATGCACAGATGCATTCCAACTGGTGGTGGGTCCTGCCCCAACCCGCTCTGAGCACGGGTGGATTGCTGAGACCCTCAGCAGCAGCAGCACCTCCCGATTTCCACGGCCTTTAGCAGCACCGCTGGCTAGAGGTGGTCCACCCTTAGTACCACCGGGGCCGGGCATCATCATCAGCAGCAACAGCACCCCGCTGCCATGCTGAAGGTGGTGGTGGCCCCATGCCATAACTGTGTGGCACCTTGGCGTCAGAGTTGCCATTACCCTGCCCGAGCCCTGCAGATTTCCGCTCGCTAAAGGAACAGTTTCGTGCTCCGCTCACTCGCTGCTTACTCACCCCTTTTCGTGCTCCTTTACTCGCCGCCTTTCCCCGCAGGGTCACGCGCTGCTCATGCAAATTGTTTGCAGGGGCCTTCCTAATTTCTGAGAAGTATCTGAAAGACCTCAACGCTCTCTGTGTTTATTTGCAAACACTATTAACCATTTCCTCCCCTTGCCCCAGACATGGCGCCTGCTGCCTGGCCCAGACCCACAGCTGTGAATTCAGTTAAACCAGTGGGGGAGGGATCTTTGGGAACTGGTGGGTTTCTCTTCCTCAGCATCATTTTGTGGTAATTTGTGTTCCCCATCTCATTCGGGAAGCTTTGCTTTCCCTGGGCTTTGAGGACATTCATCTCTGAGCTTCAGTTGGCTCCATCCGAGGTGTTTGGTCATTGCTTTCTTCTTCATCTTCCAAATTGTCAGTGCTCCTTAAATACCTCAGGGTGCTTTTAAGCCATTTTGGGACTGACCCTCGATCCTTTGAGGTGACTGCCCAGGGTGATAGCTGTGTGCCCCGACAGTGATGGCTGCAGGAGAATGGGGCCTCGTCTGTGTCCCAGATGCGTTGGTGGGGCCCTTGCCGACACATTGGGCCAGCTTCTTGTTGGGGAAAAAAGGGACATTTGTGCTTCAATGACGTGGTATGACATGTGCTTGCTGAAGTTCCTGTCCCTTAGTTTTGAAGAACAAACTGTTTTCTCGTTCATTCATTTCTCCTTCCTTTTTAGCCCTTGTTTTGTTCTTTCAGTGGCCAAATAGAAGAGGACTGCCCCATGCAATTCACCATATTCTACCTCAGAGAGAGAATTCATTTTTTTAAGCATCAAAGGACATTTTTCAGACACACACACACACCCCTCCCCCTTAGCTAACCCCAAGATGTGCCATCCACCCTGTTTGGACTGGAGGGGATTTACCAGCATGAGCGGGAGCTGCAGCATGGCTGGAGCCGGGCTGGTGCTGGAGAAGCTGGTGCTGGAGTCAGCGGGAGCTGCGTTGGCCTGGCAGGGTGCAGGCAGGGTGTAGGCAGGGCACAAAGCCTGCCCAAAGCCCAGGGGCTGCTGCAGGGCCAGGGTCCTCTGCGGTGCCAGCACCCGGGGCACAGCTGGGCTGGGGCATGGCACTGCTGCTCACCTCTTTTTCCCCTACAGCGGCTTCCTAGCAGCGAGATTGATCTTTTTTATTCTTCTTGTCCTATTTAATTTTATTTTTTTCAGCAAAAAGAGGAAAAAACCACCCCTGTTCCCTTTCTTGCGGTGGATCAAGCTTTCCATCAGCGTGCTGCCGGAGGGCTCCTGGCTCGCCCTCCCCTGCAGTTTCTGCTGCTTGCTCTGCGGCTCTGTGACTTCCCCGGTACTTCCTGGCCGCACACGGTCTCATCCTGCACCTCAAGCAGCCTGGAAAGGCTCCGGTGTCGGTTCCTGCTGGGGAGCAGTGGGGGACTGTTGGGGCAGGGGTTTCCGAAGGAACCTGAGGATCTGAAAGCATTGCCATATGTTCTGCATCTAGCCACCACTGGTTTCTAGAGGACACAACAGCCTCCCCACCCCGGGTAACAACTAACAACCCATTTTGAGCATGCGTTGGAAAGTTTGAGCAATTTGTGCTACGATTTTAATCAGAGCCCTGTGCTGCCGCGCGGGGCGGGAAGAATGAGCCAGTTTTTCCTGTCGATCCCTGGCTTGGTGAGTCTCGATCTCCGCAGTGATAGCGATCACATCTTCCGCCTCTAGAAACCAAAACACGTTGCAAGTACCAAACAAGCCTCCCCGCACCCAGCCTGGATGCCTGGTGTCACCATTTGGGGACAAAAAGCCTCAAAGTGGAAAAGCCTCCTTACTGTGAGCTTCCATATTTTCTGGGATTCATTTTAGTTTACTTTAGTTAGTTTTTTTTTTTTCATGAGAATGCAGGAAATTGTGAACAACAGGCGATGTCCACCTCTACGCCCACCAGCACCATTGTACGTGGTGGAGAGCGCTCCCCATGCCATCCTGCCTCTGGCCAGGATGGCATGGTGAGGTGACAAGGAGGGGACAGCCCCCCAGGCTTGCTCTGCTGCCCAAGCAGGGCCAGAAGCTCACAAGAAAGGAGTGATGCTGCAATGCCAGGAGTAGAGTGGAAAAGAGGACCCAGGACAGGATGGATTGAGCCACCACCCCAGGCTGAGCCCTGCCTGCCCCAGCTCAGAGACCCCTTGTTGGCCATCCCGAATGAGGGGTGGCTCCCCCAGCCCGCTCCCCTGCTGGGGCTATGTCGGAAAGCGAGAGGTGAGCAAGCCCCAGCCCCACAGCTAATTTCTGAAAGCCCGGAAAATAATGATATCATCATGAGAATCACATCCTTCACCCCGATTATTAATTTTCCCCTGACGTTTTCCAAAATTGTGGGGCACCGAGGCTGTGTTCAAGAGAAGCGGAGGAGCCAGCCACAGCGGGCTTTCACCTTTGGTTGTTTTCTATGCGAGTATTAGTCAGCAAGGTGAGTGGAGAGAAGTTATAGAAGCGTGCTGCAAAGGTCACTGCAATAACAGCACCCTAGCCCTGGGCACCTGCCCCTGCGCTCTGTGAAGCTGTCTGTGGAAAAACACACCTAGGGAGGCAAAACTCCTTCTTTCTCCTTCTCCTCCTCCTCCTCCTCCTCCTCCTCCTTCTCCTTCTCCTTCTCCTTCTCCTTCTCCTTCTCCTTCTCCTTCTCCTTCTCCTTCTCCTTCTCCTTCTCCTTCTCCTTCTCCTTCTCCTTCTCCTTCTCCTTCTCCTTCTCCTTCTCCTTCTCCTTCTCCTTCTCCTTCTCCTTCTCCTTCTCCTTCTCCTTCTCCTTCTCCTTCTCCTTCTCCTTCTCCTTCTCCTTCTCCTTCTCCTTCTCCTTCTCCTTCTCCTTCTCCTTCTCCTTCTCCTTCTCCTTCTCCTTCTCCTTCTCCTTCTCCTTCTCCTTCTCCTTCTCCTTCTCCTTCTCCTTCTCCTTCTCCTTCTCCTTCTCCTTCTCCTTCTCCTTCTCCTTCTCCTTCTCCTTCTCCTTCTCCTTCTCCTTCTCCTTCTCCTTCTCCTTCTCCTTCTCCTTCTCCTTCTCCTTCTCCTTCTCCTTCTCCTTCTCCTTCTCCTTCTCCTTCTCCTTCTCCTTCTCCTTCTCCTTCTCCTTCTCCTTCTCCTTCTCCTTCTCCTTCTCCTTCTCCTTCTCCTTCTCCTTCTCCTTCTCCTTCTCCTTCTCCTTCTCCTTCTCCTTCTCCTTCTCCTTCTCCTTCTCCTTCTCCTTCTCCTTCTCCTTCTCCTTCTCCTTCTCCTTCTCCTTCTCCTTCTCCTTCTCCTTCTCCTTCTCCTTCTCCTTCTCCTTCTCCTTCTCCTTCTCCTTCTCCTTCTCCTTCTCCTTCTCCTTCTCCTTCTCCTTTCGTGTTGAAGCCAGCCTGTGAAACGGCACTCAGGGGGCCCCATGGCTGCTCAGACCCTGCCTGGTGCCACACAGCCATGGGCACCCAGTGGCAGCACCCATGGGTGCCTAGGAACCTGAGACAGCCCTTTTACTCATGGGCCAGGCTTGGAGCCAAGGACACGTCCCCCATGGTCCCTGCCTGCTCCATCCCTGGGAGCTTTCCCCAAAAAGGGTGCGGGTTTAGCGGTGCCCGTCCTTGCTGCTCGGCGGCTGGGTGCCTGCGTGGGAGCGCGCCGGGAGCGCGCGGGGAGGGGAAGGGGCCAGGCCCAGCTCAGCTGATCCCTGCCTCTGTGGGGAGGAAGCCGGGGGCGGGAGGCAGCCCGGGTTTCCCTCTGGGGCAGAGATGGGCACGTTTCATTTCCACCCCAGCCCTTGCTGTGCACGCCAGAGAACAAGCTGCCACTGCAGGGAAGGAAGCACGGAGAGAGTCGGGGCCGGCACGGCACAGCACGTCACGGCACAGCACGGCACGGCACGGCACACCTACCCGGGCAGGGGACCGACTGCCTCACCGTGGCTCTGGGTGCCTCGAAGATGATGTGGGGCAATATGGAGGTCGCCCTGACTGGCCTCTGCACCGTCCTGCTCTGCTGCGGCCCCATGCTGGTCGGCTGCCGCCGGGGTAGGTACCGGAGCGCGGTGTGCTTGCTGGCACAGCCCGCATCGTTCGCAGACAGTGGAAAAGGTCTAAAGGCTGAGAGCTTTGTAGTTAAAAATAGCTCTGGCATCAGGAAGGCAAAAAACTGAAGGCTTTTGGGTACATGCTGCTGAAGCAAGGGAAATGGGGATGTTCTGGGTAGAAATGGGGGCTAAAGGATGGAGAAGGGGACAGGTCCCCCACCCGCGGTGCCGGCACCACGCTGTGGGCACACTGGGCAAAGTCAGGGTTTGGTGTTGAGCCTCTGGGTTTGCCAGCGCCTTGCAGCATCTGGGGTTTTCTGTGCTGGCTCTCACAGCTTCGGGCTGCGCCCTCGGGGTGCGCCTCCTGGTTTGGGCTTGAGCCTGAGGGAGACAGGGTCCTGCGTGTGGTGTTGCTCAGGGTGAAATTTTGGGGAGAACGGGAGGTGGAGGGGAAGGGGTGAGTCCAGGCAGAGCGAGCGAGAGCCCTGATGAAGCCATGTCCCCCCTTCCTCACAGCCCATCTCTTTCTTTGGTGGCTTCGGGTGTTTTCTGCCCCAAGGGTGGGCACGGGGCTGGACATCTCTTGGACCAGATGTTACCTTTGGTTCTGGGAAGATGCAGGGAAACATGTAAACCCAACCTCTGCTTTCAGAAGTCCTCGGAGCCCTTCATTCATTGCTGGCGGTGGCACTGGGTAGGAAGCAAAGTCCCAAGCCTGCTGAATATTTGTTGTTAATCACAAGAAACCCAGAACACTGCAAAAATTACATCTCTCGGTGCAGGCACTGCCGCAGCCAGCGCTGCCTACGGGAGCCAGGGCACTTCCCTTCCTCCCTCCTCCTCTTTGGTCTCATCCCTCACTTCTCAGCCCAGTTTTCCATCTAATCCTGTATCTCGTCAAGGAATTGTCCAGGTTCCTTTTCTGGTTGGTAACGCTGAGATCATGGTGCTGTGGCCTCAGGACAGTGCTGGAGGGACAGGAGGGACTTTTCTAACTCTGTCTGCAAGCCCTGGGGCTGCTGTTGGTGATAATTTCTAAAAAGGGAAGATAAATTTCTTAACAGCATGAATTTTTCGAAGCACTGATGGTTTGAATCGTTTGCTCAGATAACCCATGTGAAAAATGCTTCTTTCTGGTTTTTATCATTCCGAACAAAAGTTAACGCAGCGGCTGCCTCATCCTGCTGGATGGGGCTGGCTGAGCCAGGACATTGTGACAGCATCCCTGCTGCCCGGGGGAGGATGAACCCACTGGGATGACAGGCAGGGAAACGTGGCGAAGCAGCAGGGCTGGTGCTAAGGGCCGGGGGGGCTGTGGCTGTGGCCAACTGCCCTCTGTGCTGGGAGCAGCCTGGCATCCCTGGCCAGGACCCCCCTTGGCGGGTGGCTGGCTGCCCACGTACACGCGAGGAGGGGACAGGCGACTGGAAAGGGGTGGCATCGTAAGATCCAGGTCACTCTGCACTGTCAGATGGTCTCAGGCTGGAGGGG